TGATGTCATAAACGTAGAGAAAAAGATAAGCAATAGTCTCACCACGTCAGAACTTAAATAGAGAAGAGTCATATTTATTGTGCATAAAATTGATCCTGGTAATAAACGCAGTAAATCTACAAAAACCATGCTTGTGGGCCTGTTTTAAACCATATAGAGGTTTTTGAAGGTGTCATACATAATTCGGGTTGGTATCATCATGAAAACTAGGAGGTTGATGCATGTAAACAGTCTCTTGAAGTTGTTTGTGTAGGAAAGAATTCTTGACATCAAGTTGATGAATAGGCCATTGGCGAGAGACTGCAATGCTCAAGATTGAACGAATGGTGGTTGACTTAACAACTTGACTGAAAGTATCATCACAATCAATACCGGTTCTCTGACATTTTCTAATTGCAACCAAAAGATCCTTGTACATGTAAATAGAGTCATCCACTTTGAATTTCTTTTTAAATAACCACATAAATCGAAAAAACATTAGCCCATGGAGGCCTCAGTATAAGAACCAAAGTTTTGTTAGAAATAAGTGCATCAAATTCCTGTTGCATGGCAATGGCCCAATGAGGGTCACAAAGTGCATGGATATGAGATTTTGGAACCGGATAGTCGGATAAGACGTGAAGGTTTAGGCGATCTATAGGTTTAAAAACTCCACGTTTGGATCAAGTCCCCATGGGATGATAAGATGGGGGCTTGGGATGATCATGGTCGAGGTTATCATTCTCGGGTTGATCAGGCTCGGCTTGATCGTGCTCAGGTGGAGGAGGTGGGTGATCATCGGATATAGAGGGACTGAAGGGAGAGAGTGACTCAAGGAATCGGCGAGACACAGGAGACACGAAGTCCATGCCATTGTCAAGAAAATTATATGAGGGAGGACCGCCAGGAGTCATAGATTTAAAAGGGAAGTAGGACTCGTCAAAAATGACGCGTCATGAAATTATGATTTTGTCGGAAGAAAGATCAAGACACTGGAAACCACGATGGTTGGAGAGGCACGCAAGGAAAATGCAAGGGACAGACCTAGGTACGAGTTTGTGTGGTGGGGTGACATAAGGATAACAAAGACAACCAAAGACACGAAGGTAGGAGTACGATGGTTTCTTATTAAACAATTCAGAAAATGGAGTTTGATGTTTGATGGTTGTAGAAGGAGTGAGATTTAAAATATGGGTAGCCATATGGATCGCCTCCACCTAATAAGTAGGAGTGATGTAGGCTTGGACAAAAAGAGTATGAATGATGTTATTAATGGATTGAATCATGTGTTCGAACATCCTGTTTTGTTGAGATGTCCATTGTTTGTGGACAAGAGAACCGAAACGAAATGCCATGTTGAGAAAATAAAGGGTGAAAGTTGTGGTTGCCATATTCGTCGCCATGGTCACATTGAAAATCATTAATGCAACAGTTGAATTGTTTATTGACATATGCACGAAAATGAGTAAATTTGGCGAACACATCATATTTTTTCGTAATGGGTACACCCAAAGTAAATGAGAGTAATGATTCAAGAATAATATGTAATACTTAATGCTACTAGAGCTCAAAATTGGTGATGTCTAAAGATCCGAGTGAACAGTTTTAGATGGTTCATGACAAATAGAATTAGAACTACTAAATGGAAGACAAACATGTTTCCCAAGCCGACAAGGTTCACAAGTAAGAAAAGTAGATTTTTATTACATGAGATAAACTTATTAGAAACTAATGGATGAAAAACACGAGGACCGGGATGACCAAGACGTTGGTGCCACAAAGCTGGACTGCATGAAAGGAAAGAAAAACGATGACTTTGTTTGGAGGAAACCGGATAAAGATCACCCATGCTGTCGGATCTACGTAGAATCTATTGGGTAATGAGATCCTTCATAGAAAAACTAAATGATCAAAGTCAAAAGAACATTGATTATCAGTAGTAAATTGACGGACGAAAATGAGATTTTTAAAATAGAATAGGTGATAAGGACTTTGTGAAGGTGCAAAGGACGGTGAGCATACAGAATGACAATGTGACCGATATGGAAGAACCATTGCCAACGCGGATGGAAATTATATGAATCTTGTTTGAAACAAAATGAAGTTTACCTGTATCCGAGGCCAAATGAGAAGTCGACTCTATGTCCATGTCCATGTACTAGCTAGGATCGGTCAAGTCATTCACGGACATGAAGTGGAAGACTTGAGCAAGGCCGGTGACCTGATCATTTGCTATTGGGGAGAACCATTGCCAAGGGGGTGACGGACCGTGGGAGGTGGTTGTTGCGGTGTGGAAGGCAGCAACGTTTTTGTGAAGAGGAGGGGTTATCGATGATGCGCCCTTGCTATCGAGAAGGAGGTTGTCGGCTGTTTCCTTGGTGTTGCTATATGTTGGCTCTAGGGGCTATCAAAAGTGAAGGAGACCAGTTGTAGGGGCCGCATGGTGGAGGGTAATAAGCCCATGACATGGGGTACGATGGTGGTAAAGCTTGAGAGAAACATTGTTTGCCATCATTGCCACGTCGGTTTTCTCGGGTTGACCCCGATTGTTATTGTTCTGACTGTTGTTGTGGTGGTTGTCACGACGAGTATCCCTAAATGGTTGTTGGTATGGAGGAATGTAGGTGATGAGGAATGATCATTGTATACATGTATAGATTTTCAGGCTCGATTGTTGAGACGAGTTTCTTTAGAGAGAAGCATGGAGATGGCCTCGACAGTGGTTCTTAGTTTTTGGCAGTAATCAATGATTGATTTGTTGCCAAGGGTCATGGAATGGATTGCATTTTCAAGGTCTACAGCCCTGACTTCTTTGCTATGTCGCAACTGGCCTTCAAGATCCTCTCAAACATCATTACTGGTGTGACCATCTTTAAGAACCATGGTTAACGCTTAGGTAAAAGTATCGTATATCCACATGGTGACTAAAGAGTCCAATTTGGACCATTCTTCATTAGTTTCTCCTATAGGTTTGGAGGTTCTATTAAGAAATCCATGAACTCCAAAAGCTTTACAGTGGGTTTCGAATAAAACGCGCTAGGAATCATAATTACGTTCATTTAGATCAAGGATGAGTGGAACATACATTTTAATATTTGTGATCCCATAGGGTTTAAGTTTGGCATTTGGGGGGTTGAGGACGTCGCCTTCACCTTGGCCAGTCACTGGAAGAAAGAGACTCCGGGGAGGAGAAAGGGAGCATCAGAGAAGAAGTATATGGTTATAGTGATGTCGGAAGAGAAAGAGGCAAGTGAAGGTGATCGGAGATTAGGGTTTAGCTTGAGGGGCTCTGATGCCATAAAAAGGGTCGATATTTTCCAATGAATGGAACGATTGCATTAAACTCAAATAAATATGTATACAAATATGGGCCTGGACTATTGGACTATATACTAATACAAATACAGAAAAGCTTTATACAATATAATACACTAATAATTCTCATTTAACTAAACCAATATTGTATAATATCCAAAATAAAGAAGAAAGAAAGTAGACTTTATGAATGTCTTTGGATTGGTTATTTTGTTTATAAGTTTTTTTTATGGTTTGTAACCGCTACAAAACACTTTTGAGTGTTTTGATGAAAAAAAGTTTATTGGCTTAAATAAACAGTTTTTGATAAATTGGTTTTTCTAACTTATTTTGAAAATGCTAATAATTATTTTAGAATGGTTAAATCACACTTCCATTATTCTACTTCTAAATATACATCTTTCGTCCCAAATGGGAATTGAACCGTCAACTTATAGACACATTTCTGTCCGTACTAGTGGGCGTAGGCGCATTGGTTGCTTGCAACTCATAACTTATCTTAAAATGTTTTTTATAAGTGGAGATTAATATACCATTTTACTAATCCTTAAAAACCATATAAAATTGAAGCCTCGTGTTTTTTTCTTTTTACATGACGAGTAACACATCAATTTATTTGTCTATCTAGTCTTTTTTGGTGATTTTATATGTATATGTATCACACTAAAAAACAACTCTTTTATTCCGTTTTATTACCATATAATATAAGATAATCCAAATATATATATATATATATATATATATATATATATATATTATATATATATATATATATATATATATATATATTAATTTAAATTCATGTGGATCCCATAAGTTGGCTAGCATTATATAAAATAATACTAATAAATCATTTTAAATAAGTCTCGGAAAGATAGAATTTAACAACATTCAATCGTACATACATGGAACATGTATGGTGCAGGAAGAGAAGAGGCATGAGAGAATGATGAAAAATTTAAAAACGTGTTGGGTTTGATAATTGTCTAAAAAAATTTCAAAAAACCACACCACCCCTACCCACCATAGCCCCATTTAAAATAACTTTAAAAAAATTCCATAGTTTCTTTTTCAAAAACGAATTTAACCCCTATTTAAAATAACAAAAACTAATAGAAAATACACAAGTAAACTTGTTTCCTAATTTTCGAAAATGGAAAATGATAACTCAAAAGTTTAAATGCTTTTTCTAAATTTTCCAAATAAACTTCATTCCTTTATTTGAAAACTTTTCCAAGAAAACTGGAGACAACTTTCCATAACCAAACGCAAGCTTATCTATTTAGTTATGGAGGCATTGGTGAAAACAACTTAACAAGGATGAGAGATGATTAGGTTTAAGGGGTTTTATTGTCAATGTGAAGAGCGATCATCTTGTCCCAACATGTTCCACCCTAAAATTGTGAAATTGTGTTCCATTTGACTTGCTCAATAACCATCTTTGTTCTTGATCCACTCATGACAAACACCTTCTCAAAGAACCTTGTTGTGTTCCTTACAATTCAATGAATTTTGTGTACTTTAATATCATAAGAAAGATGAACCATTTTGATATATGGTTTATAGATTTACATCTGATAGTGGTTCAGTTGTGATTGTGGTGGTGGTTATCGGTGTGGGTGATGTTAATGATATGGTTGTTGGTATTTTCCACATCACCCTTATGTGGCACCACATAGGCTTTAAAGTTGAGAGTCCAACAAAAATTAATTAGCAGCCATCTTGTTCCTAAAATGAAGGTAAACACAAGTTATCACTTCAACAACGATATTTATTAACACAAAACTTTACAAGCTTGACAAGTACTAGTCACTAAAGATTTTGAATTAAGCTTCCAGATGCTGCTCATTGTCATTGGGTTCTGTCTTCTCTCTAATAGAATAACTATGAAGGTTTCTAGTAAAACTAGTGGTGGTATCCAAGAAATAAAGCACAAACGACATGATGCAGCAACACACAAACATGGGTATAGGGCCAAAGATCCACAAGAAGAGAGGGAAGGAGAAGTAAAATGCTCTCAATCCAATAGACCAAAACAGGCTTCCACGATTCAAGTTTCTAGCAACATAGTTTATAGGTTCTGTTCTGTTTATGAAGGTAGGAACAGTAGCCAAGAAGCTAACATGAGCATAGTATCTGATAGACTGGACATTGCAAAGAAAAGCCACGAGAAAGCATAGCAGGATGGAAAAATACTTGACTGAAGATAAAAGGGATGTTTTATTGCCGTATATTAACTGATTTGAGTTTGTGTTTGAAGTGCTGCTCACAAATACGCTGATTATGGAACTGAGAGTGATAGCAGTTGTAGCCAGAAGAGTCGATGCCATTATATTGTTGCGAATTGTTTGAACTGCTAATACACCATTCTTCAGTGGATCCTGTCGGCATGGAATCGTGTTAGTCATCAATTTTGTTATCAAGTGCTACAGTTCGAACACACTACTCTTGAAATTGAATTTGAGAGGATAAAACTGCAAACATCGATTTTAAGAGTAGTCTGTTCGACATTCAAGCTCTATCTATCCTTTTTTTTTTTTCTTTTTTTCCAAATAGAGGCGATGCTTGGGTTTAGTTGGTGGGATACAATTTAGGGCACAAACTTCATACTAGACCCAACAGGAAAGCTATCGCCTATCAGTAAGTAAGAGAGAGGGAATAGGAGACTAACAGCCATCATAGAGAAGACCCATTGATGTCGGCTCTCGGCGTTCAGGCCAATCACTGTTCGTCTGGGGTTTGTTAAAACGGTGTAAACGAGCCAAATATGGTAGAGGATCATAATCCCTAAACCCAAAGGCACCAGAACATAATCCATATCCTTCTCCTCCATCGCTACTCTCACTGTCGGTGACTCCGTGCTCAAAAAAATTGAAAGGTATCAACTGCCCAAGGAAAAAAAAGTGAAGGGGAAAGCATCAAGTCATCAAATTTAGGAAAGCAAAAGAAAACCTGTTCAAGATTCCGGGACGTCAGAATTCTCAGGATGCCGAAGCATTTACTTCTCCACGCAAGACTCGCTTTTAAATATTGAATCAACTGCGCTTTTAGTTTTACGTGTAAGATTTTCATTTTCTAACTTCTTTGCCTCGACGGGTTAACAGATACTTTTGAAATGCTTGTTTATGGGTACATGCTTTCTATCAAATTATGTTGAGAGGTTTAAAAACTAAAAAAGGATGATAAAAATAGCTTTATTTCTTAATTATAGCTTAAATTTAACCAAATTCTACAAATAACCAGCTAGCTATTTTGCAGGGTCTCTGCGAAATGTGAAATGTGATTGTGCCTTGTGAAATGCTATACCATGCCGTTTTAGTCGATTTATACTAGGAAAACGTGTGCAGTGACCAATGAAACGTGCTTTGTGAAATGGTCATGCAAAAAGGTTGGCTCACTCACCGTAAAATCTACCCATATTTAAACGAACAAAAAATGCTGAGCTTCATTACACAACTAGTTATGAGACTTTATTAAAAAAAAAAATTAAATATGAACATTTAAAATTAAGCATTTTTAAAGTAAATTTTTTAATTAAATACGATCGAAACGATGAATAAGTAAGTACTCCAATCTATACTAATAAAATAAAACCGCTGGCATATTTCAAAGAATTATCATGAATCATAAATTTTCAGACTTTTTGGAATATAATATTCGATGTCTTATTGTTAAGTTTAACATCATTGTCTAAAATTAATATTTTTAATTTATATCTGTTTTTTTTAACTCTAGACAATACAACATACAACTGTCTATGAGTGAACACTGATAGTCTAAAAAATAACCCAAATTTGATAGCATTTGTCCTTGACTATTATTTATTGTAATCGGAAAACATACAACTAGTATAAATTGGCGTCTTTGAATTGTGAAATGAATCATTTTATCTGCAGGCGTTAAAAACATTCTTGAAATAAACATACATTTTCCTATATTACTTTCGAATTAAATAGGAAGGTGTGAATGTTAAGAATTTGTAAAGCGAAAATTTCCAATAAGATATGACGATGATTGTAACACCCAATTTTTCAAACAATTTTTCACATTTTATAAAACACGTTTTCATTCATAATCGTTATAAAAACACCATTGTATCACATAACATCATCTCCCAAGATCGATCACCAACCTAACACATGCCGGCGCCATAACACCGCATAAACTTAGTGAGTTTCCCAAAATACCACTCTAACACATATTAGCCACTCGAGGCTATGACTCTGCTGACCCTCTGGTCAGTGTGTCTCAGTGGGACCCTCCAGTCCCAACTTTATGTGGGCTCTCTAGCCCTAACTCTATGGACCCAAAGGTCCTAACTCTGATAACTCTGGATCATGCATATCACATATCACAATAAATCTCAACACATAAATAGCATACAAATACACTGGCACATAACTATAGAACATAATACACATTAGCCACTCGAGGCTATAACTATGTGGGCCCTTGGGCCCTAACTCTGTGGACCCTCTGGTCCTAGCTCTTTGGACCTTCCGGCCCTAACTCTGGTATACACACAGCATAAATCACATAGAAATAATGTCGTGCCACAAATCACATAGATAGCATACAATAACTCTGTCACATAACTCTGTTACCACTCTAGGTAAAGTATAGTGAGAAGACTCACCTCGGGTAACTCGGTAAAGCTCGAACTCTGTAAAATCGGGTCTAGCCTCCGCCTAATCATGTGAAATAAATACTCTAAATCAATACATCTCTCAAGGCTAGACTATTCCTCCTCTTAGTACTCTCAGAAGGGTAAAAGACCATTTTACCCCTCTCATAACTCAAAGGCCCCACTATAGACCAAACCCTAAAAGTCAACCAAAAGTCAACCCTCCGGGTTACGCTGCGCGTACCAGATGTGTACGCTGGGCGTACCCGGCAGTCTCTCAGAATCGGGGAACGCCACCCCGTTCGCCGCGCGTACTGGGATTACGCCCGGCGTAAATCCCAGTTTCAGTCCCTTAGCTCTTGAGGTCTTAAACAGTTAAGACTCACGTCCAACTTTTAGATCTGACCATTTCTAAGCCTCTTAATCCATAAAGTCGATGACTTTAAGCCTTTGCATGGCTGAACAAGTCACTAACACCCAAAATATACCATTTCCTAACACTAGAAAGCCCAATACTCAAGCATGATCTCATATCCACGACCAAGATGGGAACTTTATGGATCTATAACACAAATACCACTGAAATGGGACAGATCTAGGTCCATGGAGCTCATTACACTCATAAAGTCTCCACCTTTGGGACTTTTAACCCTAAAATGGTCCATGAAGCAACAAACCAAATTAAGAGGAAAGTTTTGAACTTTATACCTCCAAATGCAGCTCCTTCCTCTGTAGATCTCAGATCCAAACTTGCACTTCAAGCTCTAGTCTCCACAAACTCCTCTCCTTCTTCTTCACTAGCACACCAAGGCACTTTTAGCTCCAAAATCACACACACTCACTAAGAACGATGAAAAGTTCTCTCTTAGGGTTTTACTCACTGCTATGGAGGCTGAGAAATGAGCCTTAGCATCCAATATATAGGGCACAAGTCAGAAATTAGGGTTTGCACCTGGACGCATTACGCCCAGCGTAACCCTGAGTACGCCCAGCGTACTCAGGCGAGTCCGCGTCCAAGATAAGCGCATGAGTACGCGCAGCGTACTCTTGAGTACGCCC